ATATATACCCAGCCCTGCAAAGGACAAAGAGCAACCTAAAAGTAATGAGACTGGCTTATATAGGACCTGTGGAGTCAAATTTATTACTTATGTCACACCCCATGTGTCAACTAGTACTCAGTTTGAAAGAAAAATCAAATTAGTTCCAAATAGATGGTAAAAAAAAAAGTCAAATAATATAAAAATAACTATTTGAATTCATCTGATGAAAGATACTATTAAATACAAAGCAGTAGTAATATGACAGCCTGGAAGAAGAGATAAGATATTCCTCTTTATTTTAAAATGAAAAAGATCCTAAACATAACGACATAAAGTTTACATGGTAAAAACACAATGAGGAAACCTGAAAGAATCCAAATGAAAGGATCCCTACTTTTATGCCAGAAGGACCCAGCCCCTTCTGATTTTTTACTTCCCAGGGTAAAGAAAATAAATTATTTTGAAATAGAAACCTAGTGATTCAAAAATTATCTAACTTAGACACAGTATTTTAAAAGAACCTGGAGAATTCTTCCTATGAATACTACTTCCAGTCAAATCACCCAGTTTTAAATGCAGTTTTTTCCAATATGGGTTTGGCTTTTTAGACAATCACAGAAAATCTTTACTAAATAACTTTATAAAAAGATAGATATCTTTTGTGAAACCCATTTAAGGACCAAAGTAGTAGCTCAAAAGTGACAGTGAGAACAAACCAATATCCACAGTAGTTAAGAAAATTAGAAGTGAGGTATAGAAAGTGAGCATAATGAGGAGCTATGTAATTCAAGGCTGTGAAAGGTAATAGAGATACTAACACTTATTGTACAATAGCTTTAAGTGAATATTATTTTTAAAATATATCAAATTTTCTCATTATTAATCATGTTAAAATTCGATTTCAGGTTTCCATTAATATTTATTGCATTTTAAAAGTTGTTACAAAAAAACTTTTTACAGTAGAATACTATTAATAACAGAGTTAATCTCCTTATCAAATCCCAGTGGTGCACTTGTCAATAGGAAAATAAGAATGAGTCAGATTACAAGAGAACTTTGGATACCAATAGTCTAAAGGGGATTAACAATTCATAAGACATACTATTGAGAGAATGATAACTGTGTATGAGACAGTTCCTGTGGATATTAGTTTACAACTTGTATACGAAGATTTTTATTTTATTTTCTTTGTGGATACCACACTTTAAGAAAGAATTCTAGTATCCACTTTTTTTTCCTACACTGAATTGGCTATTGTTATCTTTCACTTAGTGAAAAACATTATGTTCCAGGAAAACTTGCTCTTAAAAAGAATTGCCAGGAAAATGTCATTTGTCTCATAAACTTCCATCATACGATTGAATGATGTGTACTTAGCTGGGAAAATTTTTAGTCCATTGATACAATAAAGATCATACTTTAGAATATAATAATTATTTTAAAACTACACATATAAGGAAAATTATAACTGATAGATGAATCATTGGTACTCAGTGTAATACTGTTCTACCTCTAGCATCAATCATTAGGTAAAAATACTGAGAATGACTCTATTTTACTTAACAGAAAATGACAGTTCTTTACCCTATTTTACATGCTGCCACCACTGAGGTTTAGCAAGTTAACGAACATACCTGCCTTAAATCACCATACTACTTACAATTTGTCATACAAGGTAATTTTAATTTTCTTGGCAGTTTCCCTCTTCTTTCCAAAGATCATCCCTTTGATACTGGCATAAGCAGTTAATACCAGAAATGTACAATACTTATTTAGCAAAAATGACTTACTCCAATGCCTTCTGCATATATTTTATTATCTATTAACTGGTTAATTTCCAACAATAACAATAGCTATTTCCTGGCTGTGTCAGTATAGACCATTCTGTTCTCTAGTAACTTGTTTATAACTTAACTAATAGCTGATGTTCTAAGTAGAGAATGTTCAAAATAACAATTATATTTGTTGATCCTAAAAACTATTAGCTACTGTGAATTAAAGTTAACTTTAATCAAAGACTACTGCTGGCAGCAAAAGATACCAAATAAAAGGTACAGAAGGTATATAGAAGCCTCAAAAATTTCAAGTTTGAGTATATTGTTCCTGAGAATAAATCTGTGAATTCTTTATATTTGGAATTCTAATATGTGAATTTCTGTTAGGAGACATACCTCTCTATAGATGTAATAACTCCATATCTTGTTATTTTTCTATATGTAAATATCAACTTACAAAGGTTGACTAAAACCTAGGAAACAATTAGTCATCTGACTAATTTTCAATATAGCAGAAGGTTGTTAGAAATGTACCAAAATAAGCTTTGCAGAGGTTTGTAACTGCAGTGTAAATATTGATGTTAGTTGCCAATTATTAACACATATATTCTTAATAACATGATATTAGAACTTTGACAGATATCAATTTGTGGAACTCTAACTTACACCTCCCTTTGTTTTCAGAAAATGATAGCAATAGTAGTAATAAATGTGGTACTAAAAATTAAGTTATCTTATGCTAATGAATCAAAGTGAATGTTGCTTATAAAATTTCCGTAATTTATTTTATCAAGAAATAGTCTTTGGGGCATATTAATAATCTAAGGTTGTACTAATCAGACCAGTGTTGTATGAAACATTCAGAATATAACTGTCTCTTAGTAAACAGTAAAAAAATGTGCAGGTTAAAGAAACATGTGAATTTACATTCTCACTTGCCTCAGGACATAGAATGATTATTTTAAAGCCTGACTTCTACAGCATGTACATCTGTGAAATTGTTTATATTTAATATGTTAATTTGATGTATAGTTTATCATAGAAAATTATGCCCACTACAAAGAAGTTAATTGCCACTGATAGTCCTCTCCTCCTTTAGGTTAATCTAGGAGAACAATACGCACAAAGATTAGAAAATCAAGTGCCTTAGCTCATGCTATGCTGAAATCTTCCTCCTTCTAAGAAAGCTTATACTTCTATTAAAAGCCAAATCAAATATGACTTTCTCTACAAACCTTTCTCAGACAAATCCAGTCTACGGTAATCTCCCTTTGTTCTTAACTATTTTAGTCCTTATTCAATATGACTCTATGTTCCAATTGTTGACGATGTCTCATATATGTATTTTCCTTTTTCCAACTGGTAAGCAATTTACCCATTGGTAATTTATGAATGAGTAAACAATTTACCCAACAGGTAAACTAATGTTTCTGTTCTATTCTCCACAGTACCTGGTACAGTAGTAGGGATTCATTAGAAACTACAAAATAAAAACTTGTTTAAAGTCAATTAAAAAAAAAATTCATTCTAGAGTTCACTGATCAAGTGCCTTGATAGCATTTGCAAAATAAACCATCAATTTTATTTTATAACATGGTTATTACACACTAGGTAAATGCTCTTAGAGTATGTGGCACCTTCATAGCCATACTCATTTCAATGGAATACTAGATTGGATTCAAATTACTGCCAGGTTCTCAAACTATGTGAAGGTAAAGAGCAAATATTCATATGATACACAATTATTGCAAATAATTAAGACTTGAATTCATCAAAAGCTTTTCCAAAACAACAACAAAAATTTACCTTTGGAATCTAGCAACTAGAAGCCTGTCAACTTGCTAATGCACAAAACAAACAATACTCTCTGAGGTCCAAGATTATTTTGCAGTGGTACTAGAATTATATTGTGGTTTAAACCATACCCCAAAGAACCTCAAACAACATCAAAGCTGCCAAAGCAAAGCATTTTATCCCAAACTATCAAAGTTCGCAGTCTTGACAAATTCACCCAATAAATGTATCTAATCATAAATGGCATGTATATATCTTTTAAAAAGAACTTTAGCTCAAAAAGGTTTACAAAAAAAGTAAATTTAGCTTTTCCATTATTACACTTCTTTCTCGTCATGTCTCATCAGATAAAAGAAACCTGAAATGACTTAAAAATAATAGGGAGGGAAAAGAACCCATCTTTTATTGTCTGCTCACAGAACTATCTTACAATCAAAATTACTAATCTAAATTCAGTACACTTTTGATAGGTGTCAATTGTGAACTGTAATTTTTTTCAAGCATTTACTTTTAAGGAAATAACCTCATTCATCAAAGATAATGTTGCTAATTTTCAAAAAAGCCCTCACAAGTTTAGAACCTCATCTAATCACCTTGTCCAGAATATCACTTCAGGTGCCTCATGCCAATGTTTTCTGGAAGTGACTATCTTCAACTGCAGGCTACCTCAGGAAAAACAGATATATATCTCACAACCCATCCTCGCTTTTATTTGGGATATTTTAGGTTTCATAATCATATTTATAATAAAAAGAAGTATGCCATTCTGGATGAAGAGTAGTTTGTAAAACCAGTTTCCACTACTATCAATCAGCCATTCTGCCTACTTCTCAAGTTTGATGGTACTTTAGAAAGAGAGTATGTGTTTGTTGAATTATTTTTATTATTTAATATAAGTACTATCTTCCTAACTTACATGTCAGGAGTCAGAAGCCAGGCACAAGGCTTTCGGGAGCTCTCCGCAAACGAGGAGTAACAACACTGAAAAGTAAGGGGCCACTCAAGCTATCTGTTCAAGCCTTGAGGCATGGAGCGGCAGCCGGGGGAATGGGCTGCTGAGAAGCCCGCGGTCAGGCTGAGCCTCCTGAGAGCGAGAGCGAGAGCCAGAAGCAGAGCAAGGGGAAAGGGACGAGCACGGCACTGGAAGAGTCTGTCCACGAATCAGGAACCAGGTTGCGTGACTGTACGTAGAATTATCAGCATCTATGGCATCTAAGAAGCAAAGCCAGGCCTTAGGCACCCACCCCGCATTCCTGGACGCCAGGGTTGAGACCAAAAAGTGATGGCTCTGAGAAGGAAAACTACCTCGAAGGGAATAGAGAGCCGCGAGCAGATGTGGGAGAGGCGTCAGAAGCTTTTGCAGGAGAAAGCAACGCTTCGCTCGCCTCCCGGGGCCCCGGAGGCCGTAAAGGCACCCTAGCACCGAGCGAGTGCGGTGCCACTACTCACCCCTACTCTTCTAGGGTCCCCGTCGTTGCCCTGCTCGACGCAGCCCCTGCAGGGGGGGAGCCCCTCCCCCGCCCGCCGCCGGGGGTGGGCTCGGCGGGCGAGAGAAGGCGGCGGCGCAGGTGTCCAAGAGCCGGGGCCAGAGAGGAGCTGGGTGCAAGGGAGGCAGCTTGGTGCCTTGCGCTCCGTGGCGCCGCCAACTTCACCACCATCGACGTAGAGGGACGAGGGGAGGCGATGGGGGACAGGCGCTTGCCCAGCGGCCCGGACCCTCCTGGGGTACTAGGCCTTAGTCTCTGGTGGGACTGCTGTCCCTAGTCCCCTCAACGACGCGACCCCCAGGCCTGATTCCCGTCCCTCGGCCCCTGTGGCCACAGAGCAGCGGCGGCTCCCTCTTGGGGCCGCGGTCGCAGCTGCATCCTCCTGCTCCTCCTCCTCTGGCGCCGCTGCCTACACACAGAGCCCCGGCTCCGTTACCGCCGCGGCGCCCGACCGCCGTTGCCTAGCAACCGTGCGCATGCGCCCCACCCCTGTCGGCGACTGCTGCCACCGCTGGCGCCACTGTCGGAGCTCAGACCAGCAGGCCTGAGACCTAGAAAGTGCTCAAAACCCCACTTCCTAAGGCCTAGAAGGAGCGACGTGAAGGTAAGGTTGGATGAGGAGAGGTCCAGGATACTCTGCAATTCGAGAGGCCCGAGGACTTGGGATACGACACTATCCCAGCTCCTCAACAGGCACTTCTGCAGTTAAGAGTGACAGTCCCAACAACTTCACTACTTATTTGTCTCACTGCCTTTTGTCTTTTATTTGTCTTTTTTTTTTCCTTTTATTCTATTTGCCTACTTAATTGTCTTGCCTCATCCAATTCAACCTTCACAAGGGCTGCCAGGGTAATTTTCTAAATAACTTCTCTGACCATGTCATTCGTCTGCATAACTCAGGTGGTTAAGGGTCATCTGCCTTAATAGGGCCTAACAGTTCTTGACTACTGCAACAGCATCCTCTCTGGTTTCCTTGCCTTTAGACTTGTCTTCCTGCAATTTGTTCTCATACCTCTACCAGTGATCAAATAAAAATCTAATCTCACTTTCCTCTGGTTTAGAGAATGGGCTTTGGAATTACAGCCAAATTTGAATTTCTGCTCCATCACCAAGCTCTGATTTTTGTGACAGAGTCTCATTCCGTCGCCCAGGCTGGAGTGCAGTGGTGCCATCTCGGCTCACTGCAACCTCCCCCTCCCGAATTCAAGAGATTCTCCTGCCTCAGCCTCCTGAGTAGCTAGGACTACAGCTGTGAGCCACACGCTCAGTTAATTTTTTTGTATTTTTGGTAGGGACAGGGTTTCACCATGTTGGCCAGGCTGGTCTGGAACTCCTGACCTCAAGTGATCCGCCTGCCTCCACCTCCCAAAGTGCTGGGATTACAGGTGTGAGCCACTGTGCCCGGCCTGAGCTAAGATTCTTAACTTGTTTGAATCAATTTCCTTATCAGTAAAATGGTGATAATTATAGTACCTATAGAGTAGCTATGAGAATTAAAACGAAGAGTGAATGTAAAGCACTTAACATATATAACTTAAACTGTGGCTCAGATTAAGCACTTAGTAAAACTTGGAGTTATTTTTCAATAGATACATTATCTGTGAGGAGAAAGTACAGATTCCCTAGCTTAATATTCAAAGTTCTCTAAGATCTTGCCTCTATTTTTTCTAACCCCAGTTCCTTCCACTCCACCTTAGGCACCCAGCCACAGACCAGTTTTTAACCTTTTCTGAGATACATCTAGATCTATAAAGTACTTAGACATATTTCCCAACGGTTCACCTGGGTAAGAAATCTGCATAAACCCTCCAGTTAATGATCATGTAAATATCCAGTGATTCTTCCAAAACTACACTTTTTAATTTTAAAGTATTGACACTGAGAATGACACGTAGGCAATGACTATGTACAAACTTGTGTGATTTTCTAGGGGGCTTATTTACTTGGTCTTTTTGAAATTAGGCTTAGAGTTTCTGTATTAAACTTAATACAATGTATAAACATATTTACAAAATGTGCCCTGCTGGATGCTTATTTAATAAAAGATTTAAACATTTTAGAAAGTGTAAAAATAATAGCTGTGCCATGTGTAAGAACTCTAAGAAACCTTAGAATAAGTGCCAGTGAAGCGTTAGTGGAGGGCCAGGTGCAGTGGCTCACACCTGTAATCCCAGCACTTTGGGAGGATGAGATGGGTGGATCACCTGAGGCCAGGAGTTCAAGATCAGCCTGGCCAGCATGGCAAAACCCCTCCTCTACTAAAAATACAAAACTTAGCCGGGCACATTAGCACATGCCTGTAATCCCAGCTACTCAGGAGGCTGAGGCAGGAGAACTGCTTGAACCTGGGAGGCGGAGGCTGCAGCAAGCCCAGATACACCACTGCACTCCATCCTGGGTGACAGACTGAGACTCTATCTCAAAAAAAAAAAAAAAAAAAAAAATGAAAAGAAACATTAGAGGGGAGCTCAAATGAACTGTAAAACTGAAATGAAATTTTATACGGACCAGGCAAAAAATACTGAAGAAAGAGGAGAAAAATTGGAAAGGCAAAAAAGAGTGAATCACTCTAGAACTAATTAAATAGAAATATCAGATTAGAGATCATAAACAAGCTGTAACCAATGTGGAAGACCATAACATAGGAAATACATATTACAAGTGTGAATGTGGCAATAAACTTGGATAGAGTTCTCACACAGCTCATACCTTTCCTTCCATATGGAACAGGCATGCCGTTCAGGTTCAGAGGAAAACAATTCCCTGGTATTCAGCCTTTTCCAATGACCATCAGTAACTCACAGGGACAGACTTTTGACAAAACTTGCTTATATCTTCTAAAACCTGTATTTTGCCACATAAAACTTATATTCTCTGTTTACATAGTAAACTAATGACATTCTATCACATATATTTTTTTAACAGTGAATAGAGGAATACATATGTAAAATGCTGCTAGTCACCTTTAATTCTTCTGTGTTTCTTTCTAGATAGAGAACTGTGTCACTGCTGTACTTAAACTCCTCCGTATCTTTCTTGGAGTTTCAAGATAAAAATCTGAGCTCCTTTGCCCACATCAGTGCATCTGCCTTTACTATGATAGAAAGATAAAAACTCCTACAACAAACTGACTTCTCCATATCAATATGTAATAAAAGAAGGATGATTTATTATTGAGTAAGCACAACAGAGTACATGCATATAAGTAGGCTTCAACTGTCGTGGACCGTCCGGGACGGGTAGGCACGTCTGCCCGGGGGTCTCTCGACCTGCAAGAGGGTCCCAATACCTGGAAGAGGGAGTGCGCCTGGAAAATTAATAAAGACAGAGAGAGAGAAAGCGAGGCGTCTGGAGGGCTGATAGGCTGTGCCTAAACAGCAAATTTTATTTTTCAAAGGCCAGGAATAAATACACTTTCTTGGCTCTGGTTTACCTCATAGCAAGAGGAAATGCAAATGTATGCCTCACATGGCCTATACAATAGAGAAGTCAGATATGCAATCAGTGGTTGTAAAAAGTAACAGAATTTCCTATAATCACAAAGTTTGTTTGCATCCAAACATTATTCACAAAGCTTGTTTATATCCAAACATTATTCCTCCTGGCTGCAGGTATCTCTGGTTTGACCTTGTTTTAGAACTGAGATGTGAAAAGGGTTTTTTTGGTTTTGCTCATCAGAATATCTTTTAATCGGGTTCTCCTTTGTCTACTCCTGACTCAATTTAACTCAACTTCCCCATTCAGGAGTCTCTGAGTCAGAAATCAAAGCCATCCCTTATGGTGGCATTTGCTTTGCAAATATCAACAGTTAAACCATTATCTAGGGTACAAGGCAGTCAGGTAAGGTTTAAAGCTAAAGAGTCATAAAAAGGTTAAAAGCTGGAACTGGTTGCCGGCAGGGGGTCACTCGGTCTAGCAGCAACGCATAATTTTAGGCACAAACGATATTGTGGTTGATATTAGAAACTGATCATTCATCTTTAAGTTCCTATATTTCCGGATAGCTTGACTGCCTCCAGTAGGAAACTGTGTTTGGGATCAAACTCACCGTATAGTGAGACTCACGCCTTTTGGGGGTCTCACACGGGAATGTTCCCCACATTCAACAGACTGCAAATTCAAATAAAATTCTAAACAACTTATATATTAAAACAGATAAGAAGTCCACTTGAGAATTGAGATAGCTATTTGTTTAGTTAATTGAATTCTTCCAACTGAATAGAAAAACTTTTCTTACCTTCCCAAAGATACTTCTAGTCCTCCTGAAAGACAAATTGTTATACCTTGAGATGGGCTCCTACATCAACTTTTAAGACATGTCTTTACATTTTAAAGAGAAATGTACCTTGACCTTGGAAATATGTGTACATTATAAAACTGGAGACTGAGACTCTGTAATCTCTGGAGAGATTTATCTACATTCCAAAAGTTAGAGAAAGGATAAAGGTTCACTCTGTCCCCCAAAGAGGTACTCTAAGAAGCTAAGCGGGAGAAAATAGTCTCTTTCACCTTATTCACCTTCTTTTCTTTTTATTTTGTTTTCCTTATTCACCTTCATTTACCTTTACAATTACAAATCAGTGAGTTCTTCAAAAACAGAACTCTGTGCTGGCACAGTAGATGCACCTCATAAACCAAGAGTAGACCTTTCTTAAATAAATAAAGTCATAGAAGTTGTCAACAGATGAGTGTGAATTTGCCAGAAGGGGATAAAAATATTCCACGCAAGTGAAAAATTATATTAAAAAGCCCAGAAAATTTGAAAATGCATGATGTGTTCAGCAAAAGTAGAAAAGTTTGACTTACACATATCCGTATTTATAGGCTGGGAAGTGTAAAGATATAATGGAGTTCAAGAGAAGTAGGTTGAGCAGAGATTGTGAAATGCCTTGTATGGCATGCCAAAGTTTGGAAAAGGTCTATATCTGATGGCTAAATATGGTGTTAAAGAAAAATTTTTCATGATATTTGTTAAAGATGGTAAGAAATACTTAATTCAAGAAGGATTATTGTTACAAAGTTTTACCACAGGGGAGAGAGATGAGGCTCAACTGTGACTCCAACAAGGTGGGGGAGTAACATTTATAAGTGGGAATTTATAACCAAGGAGCAGGATGAGGGCATCAGTTAATGGAAAATTACTAAGAGGAAACATTAAGTCTAGGGGAATTCTTGCTAAACCAACATGATGGGACTCTTGCTACAGGCAGACCAGGGTAATATGATATCAGGAGTGGGAGATGAGGAATCTAATCATATATCCAGAATGATCAGATACCAAGGGTAAGGGATTTCCACTAAACTGACTCAGCAGGATTCTTGTTAAAACTGAACTAAGCAAGCCGAGGACAGAGCCCGTAGTCAGGGCTTAGTTGAGAAGAAGACTCAGAAGAGTCTGACTCAAATTTGGTCGAGAGAGTCTTTGTCAAATGCAAATT